AAAAAAAAAAAAAAAAAAGATTGCTTATACCCATTTACACTCATTCACCCTTCCAACCCCAGCTAACCACTAATCTACTTTCTATCTTTATAGATTTGCCTTTTCTAGACATTTCATATAAACGGAATTGTAATATGTGGTCTCTTGTGTCTGGCTTCTTTTACTTAGTGTAATGTTTGTAAGGTTCATCCATGTTTGTAGTTTGTTCCTTTTCTTATTGCTGAATAAAAGTGATAGTTTGTTAAAGATTAATTAGAATACGGAATCTAAAACCCTATTAGTGAGCTTTTTTTGTACTCTTGTTACATTAAAATTCATTGGTCTGTCTTCTTCTTTGAATGGATCTTTTACCCATGCATGATTTTGTGCTTTCGTGCCTTGGTCATTTGGAAAATATTGGTTCACAAAGTTATTTGGATCTTCCAAATGTTAACATACATTTGGGGCTGGCCAGTTAGCTCAGTTGGTTAGAGCACAGCCTTATAACTCCAAGATCTCAGGTTCAATTCCCCGTACTGGCCAGCCACCCCCCAAAAAAACGAATAAATGTTAACACATTTTATCATAAAATATTTTTTTTTATTAAATTCATTAATACCACCATCAATTTTATTAGAAAACTTTTTAAGTATTGGAAAGCTGTCAAGCTCACAGTAGCAGATACATGTTGTCCAAATTATAATTTAACTTGAAAGCCTAAATTATATTTTTAGCAACAAATTTTGCTATTTGCTTTCCTTGAAGTGAGGGGCTCAGTTTGTTCAGTTTTTAGGAAATATCTGAAGAATACCCAAATGCGAATTACCATAGTTTAACTGTCCATCATTCTTTCAAGTAAAACTGGTGTTCTTTGAAAAAAGAAGGTAGTTCATCTTACAACTCACATAATTGCACATGTTCTTTTCCTTTTTTTTTTTTTTTAACTGCAAGTGTGTGGTGGTGAAGATGTATTGTCTGCTAGTAGTTTGTTGCCACTGCCCTGATTCACTACTAAGGTACCAGCAGTTTTATACACTATTGCTTTTGCACCATCAGTGTAAATGTTAACAGTGCAAAAGGCAAAGAAAGCCTTAGTATTAGAAAAATAGGTTTGGCCTTACAGAGTCCCAGGGGTACACAGACCACACTTTGAGAACCACTGGATTATAGTGTCTTTTGTTTAATGTAATCATTGCACTTTGCTATATTTATGGAATGTAACAATAAATCACAGTATTTGTGTGGATAAGGTTTGCATTAAAGCAATAGCAATTTTATAACCCTTGAGGCATTTGATTGACGAAATCAAATGTGTAAGAAAACTAAAAATATACTCAGTCCCATCTCTACTTTAATATTGGCTTGCAATACCCATGTATTTTTTTAAGTCTTCAAAAGCAAAGTGATTTCTCATATGTAAGTGCTGAATTTCAAATATGTACAGAAAATAAACCCTGATGTTTTATTATCTTTCATATTTTTAGGTTTTGAGAGTCTGGAAGTTAGGAGGGCATTTAAATTAACTGAGTTTTGTTGCATAGTAAAAAATGTACACTTTGTCTTTTTCAGGATGTAGAGTTACTGATGAAATTTTACATTTAGTGCCAAATAAAGAAACTTTTAGACTCACCCTAAGAGCTGTCAAATTATGGGCAAAACGTAAGTACCTCAAGTCTTCTATGTTTGCATTATGTAATCCTAATTTTCTGTGGCCAGTGATAGAAGCACATGTGAAAACTTTGAGCCTGTTGAGGGCCAATAAACTTTAAAATAGTGGTTTTTCAGGTGCAGTGGTTATGATATTCTGATATGTGACTCGACCTCCTTCTCCCTTGGGTGAAAACTTAAAAAGCTCCTTGATTTTCCATCTTAAGTTTCAGCCTGGCAGTCAGAATAATTCAGAACTTGAAGACTGAAATCTTCGCTGGTCTTTGAGCTCCCTGTGGGCCGGACCATCTTACGCATCTTTGTATCCCCATCACCAGCGAAGAATCTGGTGTATAGTAGGTGTTCAGTACGTTTATTAAGTGAGGAGCCTACAGTGATCAGGGTTTTAACTTGGCTTGGATAGTGCAGGGCTAAAATGGCCTTAAGCAAGTAGAATTTGTCCCTGGGCTCAAATATCATATAGTCATGATAAAGTAATTTGCAGTGAAGGATAACACGAATAATTTCTTTCCTTTCAGATTAAATACCATGTTTTGTTAATTCTTAAATGCATATTTTCCATATTTAACATAAGGTAAAGATCTTATAACACTTTTCTAATAAAGCCTGGAACTGCACTTAGTTTATGTACATAGAATATGGTTTGTAAAAGGCCTTTGCCTAATCCTGAGCTGGCAGAGCACATTCTGTTTATTTGTTACTATATTTAAGTAGTGCTGCACTTCTGGCACCAGGTTTTACATAGTCTAAAACAACACTCTCCAATAAAACTTTCTGTGATTATGGAAATGCTTTATATCTGTGCTGTCAAATACCGTAACTGTGCGGCTGTTGAGCACTTTAAATGTGTACCTGAGGAACTGAATTTTAAAATTTTTATTTCATTTCAATAAATTTAGAGTGAAATAGTGCCTGAAAGAAGTGAAAACATATATTCACACAAAAACTTGCACACAGATGTTCATAGCACCATTATTCATAATAGCCAAAAAGCAGAAACAACCACATGTCTATAAACTGATGAATGGGTAAACAAAAGGTGGTATATCCATACTATGGAATATTATTTGGCAGTAAGAAGGAATGCAGTACTGGTACATGTTACAACATATGTGAACCTTGAAAACATTAAGTGAAAGAAGCCAGTCATAAAAGACCACATATTGTATGATTCCATTTATATGAAATGTCTGTAATAGGCAAATCTGTAGAGACAGAAGGTAAATTGGTTGTCTAGGTCTGGGAGGATTGGGAGAACAGAGAAGGAGTGTGACTATTAAAGGTTTCTTTTTGTGGTGATGAAAATGTTCTAGAATTTGTTATGGTGATGGTTGCACAACTCTGAATATACTAAAAACCATTGAACTGTGTACTTTCAATGGTTGAATCTTTTTTTTTTTTTAAAGATGACCAGTAAGGGGATCTTAACCCTTGGTTTGGTGTTGTCAGCACCATGCTCACCCACTGAGCTAACCAGCCATCCCTATGCAGGATCCAAACCCGTGGCCTTGGTGTTATCAGCACCACCCTGTCCCGAGTGAGCCCCGGGACAGCCCCAATGGTTGAATCTTTTTTTTTTTTTAAAGATGACCAGTAAGGGGATCTTAACCCTTGGTTTGGTGTTGTCAGCACCATGCTCACCCACTGAGCTAACCAGCCATCCCTATACAGGATCCAAACCCGTGGCCTTGGTGTTATCAGCACCACACTGTCCCGAGTGAGCCACGGGACAGCCCCAATGGTTGAATCTTATGGTATGTGAATTATGTCTCAGTAAAGCTGTTGCAAAAAAAAATCAAATGGTCACATGTGGTTTGTGGCTACCATATTGGACACTTCAGGTCTAAAAAGACCTTAAGCAAGTAGAATTTGTTCTTGGGCTCAAGTACCTTATATAGTTAGGATGAAGTAGTTTGCAGTAAAGGATAACATGAACAGTTTGTCTTTCCATATAGATTAAATGCCATGTTTTGTCAGTTCTTATATCCATATTTTTCACATTTAACATGTCTGAAATTTGTACCTTGTAGTTTTTTTCTCTTGCTCAATTAGTGGGACATAATGCCACATATATAATGGAGGGCATCTTAGGTCTGATGAAATATGGTAATAATTTTTTATAGATTGCTATAAGAAGCAGTCATATGAGAGTTGAGTAATATCAATGGTGTATTCTGTTTTATGGAGAGATATCCAAATTCTGTGAAATACTGAAGTTAGCCCCCAACTTTACACTTGATTCAAAAATAGCCATGAATAGGATCACTAATGAAATGTTCATTCTTCCCTACTTGTATACCCTCCAGATGTCTTTCCTCTTTCCTTTGATTTCTTTCTTGATTCTAAATGTTGAAAGATGGGGAATTTCAATGTAATGTCAGTACCACCCAGTTGAGCAGTTGGAACTGAGGTGTCTGTATGAGAGGGCAAAAAGGAGGGTAAGATAAGCAACTTAAGGTTTACTAATAGATTGTGGCCCTAGTGTGAAGGTCTGATTATTGATTTTAATGTTTCTATAGGGCAAAAGATTTAAGCAACAGTCTTAAGAATGAAGTTATCCTGTTGAATATCATGGATGGTAGGTCCTATCAATAATTTTAAAATATATCAATTTTCTTAGGACGTGGTATTTATTCCAACATGCTGGGATTCCTTGGTGGTGTCTCCTGGGCAATGCTAGTTGCAAGAACTTGCCAGTTATATCCAAATGCAGCTGCTTCTACTTTAGTTCATAAGTTCTTCTTAGTTTTCTCCAAGTGGTAAGTATTCATATACATACTTTGATTATTTACTAACTTCTCTCTACATGTAAATTTATTTGGAAATTTAAGAGCTACATATAGACATTTTCTGTATTTTTTCCATTCCTTTTTTATGTTAAAAGTTTAAAAACACATCAAATTTGAGACAATGGTGGGACATCCAGATGGTGCTTTCTTCCAGGGATCTGTAAATGTGGGCCTTTAGCTTGCATAAGTGGTTACAATAGATTTGGCTGTGTGAATTACTAGCTATGTCGAGGTTGTTTAAGCTCTCCTTATCTGTAACATGAAGATGATAATCACAATAACTGCATTGATTACAGTAAATATTAGCTGCTACTATTATTAAATTATCAGAATTAAATCTATGAAAGCAAGTGAGAAGGAAAGGAGAGATTTAGATGTAAATTAGTTACAGCTAATGGGCAAAGTAATATTTGCCCTTTCAGAGAACCAAAATATAAGCAGCCTTTTCTTTGTATACTTTCTTCCCTCACCCATTTTTTTTTAATCCTAAATACTCAGAACATTTATTGTATGAAGGTTGGAACAAATCTAATGATTCTAACATTTCACAGAGTACCTGAAGTAAGATCCTATGTGAGTTAATTTGCCTTATTCATGTTAGGGAATGGCCAAATCCAGTGCTGCTGAAGCAACCAGAAGAAAGCAATTTGAATTTGCCTGTCTGGGATCCTCGGGTATGTGATTTATTATCGCATTTCATTAAACCTTTTAGGAAAAGGATGTTTCTCTGAATTACATTCTAAGATAATTATTCTTATTCCTGCTCATCTTCCTTCTGTGCAACTATAGTCCTTTCCCTCCCTATGCTGTGTTTTTTTGGTGCAGATGATTTGGATGTCTCATGCCCTATCCAAATGTTATGTCATTAAAAATTGCCCATCTAAGGGCCGGCCCGGTGGCGCACTGGATAGTGCGCCGCTTGGGAAGCGCGGTGGCGCTCCC